AAATTTTTGAGAGAACGAGTCAAAGAGCATGTTTCAGAGATATTGTTGCTTTTATTGAACACCAGATTAGAATAATCTCAGATCCGGTTTTTGGAGACATACAGGACTTACAACCTGTTAGGGGGATCATAAGACCTAACAAACCTCAAATAAAGCCACAGTTTAAAAGAAACAGCTTTGTTACCAATGTTTCTGTTAATGATGATGGTAACATGCCTTCTCTCAAAAATGAAGTAACTGTTGTTGACAAATCAAATTATGTATCCTGTCTGTATTGTACACAGGATGGGCATGTATTAGAACAATGTCGACAATTAGGAAAGAGGTCACACAGGGAAAAACTAGACTTTCTAAAAGACAAAGGTTTGTGTTTTGGTTGCTTGAATACAGGACATTTAAGCAAAAGCTGTGTTAAACGCATCACTTGCAAACACTGTAACCAAAAGCATCCCAGCATTTTGCACATTGGACAGAAGGAAAAAATCCATCAGAAAGAGTTGGATCAGGCAGCAAAGGGCTGTAAAACCTCCTCTACTTGTGGTCATACTGGGGCTGGCCACCATACAGGGATTCTTCCCATCCTGCCTGTGAAAGTGAAAAGTKCAAAGGGAACTAAAATCATTAAAACAAATGCTTTTCTGGATCCAGGGAGCACTGATACAATCTGCTCTGAAAGACTTAATGAACTCAACATTCAAGGTCGAAAGACTCAGATTCATCTCCGGACAATSGGTCAGAGTAAAACAATGACAACCTCTATCATTAAAGGGCTGGAGATTTCAGAAATAAACGGAAGCCATTTCTATCAGCTTCCYGTTGTGTTTACACAAAAGGAAATGCCTGTCTCCACCGACAACATCATCAGTGAGGAGGAACTGTCTAAATGGTCGTACTTAAAGGACATCAGCTATCCTCGCATACATGCAGGTGTAGACCTACTAGTGGGAACCAATGCATCYAAATTAATGGAACCTTGGGAGGTGGTTAATAGTCAGGGTGAAGGGCCCTATGCAATCAGAAGCCCCTAGGATGGGTTGTAAATGCTTCAGCAGAAGATTACAATGATTTTGAAAATGGCTRCCCTTCAGTTCATGTCAACAGAACTACAGTTGATAAAATTGAAGAGCTTCTGATCAGTCAGTACAATTATGACTTTAATGAAAAGTCATTTACAGAACAAGGGGAGAGGGGAGCAGAGCAGGGGCTGCTGCAGGAGTCCAGGCCTGGACGCAACCAGAACCAGGCCCGGCAGATGCCTTTCAGGACCTGCTCCAGTTCTTTCTGCATCTTTCCCTCTGAGCCTGACATGCCCATCGACATGACCATCCCTCTCTACCTGKCCAAGGAGGACTTCGTCTTCACCTCCAAACTCCAACCGTCGGCTCGGAACTCCTGCCTCAGGTTTCAGTCCTCAGACTTGGTGGACCAGCCTGAACCTGAGGATGGAGAAGTCACGCAGAAAAGGAAGAAGCACGTGATGTTTGCCGACACCAAAGGTCTAAGTCTGACCAGGGTCAAGGTCTTCTCGAAGTTCACGGACCCCATCGAAATCCCCGTGAATATCCAGGAGATGCTGAGCTCCAAACTTACGCTGTCGTACAGCGATTAGGACAAACTGGTGCTGGACTTCCCTCAGCCCTCCTCAGACTACCTTCAGTTCCACCAGAACCTGGAGAAGAACCTGGTGAGCCTGGAGCACTGCGTCGTGAAGAAGAAGGCCATGGCACAAAAAGGGATTAAATGGAGTTTTTACCCACCATCTGGATCACATTGTGGTGGGGTTTGGGAGCGCCTCATCCGAATGATCAGAAAGGTTCTGCACTCAGTGCTCCGTCAACAAATGTTGGATGATGAAGGATTCCACACTGTACTTTGTGAAGCAGAGGCAATACTTAACGATCGTCCCATCACAAAGTTATCGGAGGACCCTAACGACCTTGAGGCTTTAACACCCAACCACTTGCTACTCATGAAGGGAAAACCAGCTCTCCCGCCAGGACTCTTTGACAAAAGGGATCTTTATGCCAAAAGAAGGTGGAAACAAATCCAATATATTTCAGATCTCTTTTGGAAGCGTTGGATTCGAGAATATCTACCATTGTTACAAGAAAGACAAAAATGGATAAAGAAAAGGAGATGTTTCATTCCTGGAGATGTGGTGG